AAAAGTAAAATAATATCTGGTTTTGGATTATTTTATGAATCTTTAAGACTTGCTCACCTGCACAGCGTCCATTCCTGACAGTAAAGCCGTTACCACACTAAAAAAAAAAAAAAAAAAAAAAAAAGAGGAAAAGGTTTTTATCCAAACCAAATAAGCTGATTCTGAGACATTTTAAAAACAATTTACTTTTATTTTTTGAAAGGTAGGAGTAAAATATCTTACAATTAAACTAACCAGAGAGAGAGAGAGATTAAGGCTTTGATGTGGTTCAATTCACTGCTCCACTAACAGAAAAAAAAGGCGTGTTCATAATTCATGCTGGGAATTCGGGCTGTGTACCTGCGTGTCATTGGCAAGCTCAGTGGTTTCCCCTTCTTTGGGATAGGTGACTTCCAACACAGAGTTCATTTCACCAGCCTGAAGAGCTCGAGTAAAACTAGTGCTGTCTGGCCAGGAGACCTCGAGCACCTTCACCTCATCATTTCCTGGGAGTCATGAGTACAAGACACAATACTACGTTACATTTTACAAGTACAAATTTGTATTTTGGGATTAGATTTAAAAATATCTGCTGGGATGCTACCTGCCTCCTGACTATCAAACTATGTTTTACAGACTGATGTGAGAGCATCTCATCTTAATTTTAGCAAGAAAGGACATTAGCTTATTAGCTTATATCCCAAAATTTGTAAACTTTTACCAGCCATTAGTTATAACACCAGTATCTGGTTTAAAGTAAAAAAATATCAGGGATACTATTGTTTAGCTGAGATGTCTAAAAACACCAATGACAAAGGCACACATACTGAGTTCTAGTGTTTGACAGGATAGATGCACGATCACAAAAAAAAGCTGTTTGGCCAACAATCTGCTCTAGTGTTTACTTGTGAGGTGTCTGCTGTTTTTTCAGTGTCTACAACATTTAAAAGGAAATCACCTAAACCAAAGTGGGCGACTGGCTCCATCTCACATAGATATCCAGAGCCTCCATCAATGATGCGCGTGTGAGCTCCACTCTGACTGGTGAAGACTGTCACCTTGGCACCCCGGGCGAAAGAACCAAACTGGGTGCGAGGAATGACCCGCAGCCAGTTATTGGATGATCCCTAGCAACAAGGATGTTCATGGATTATTATTCGCTAACTAATAATAAGAAGACCAGTTAGTAGGTATATCATTAGGCTGTTAGTAAAAAGAAAAACAAACAAACTCCACCCGACAAATACACACACGCACACCCACCTGCGTGACCTTAAAGACAGAGATTGGCTGCTGGGCGCTCTCCCCGTGTGCCAACAGCAGGTCCAGCTGTCCATCCCCATCCAAGTCAGTCACAGTACCACCTGTCCAGAACACACAGAGTGCTTTCACTGAACTGACCTACACATCAATGTCAATGGGGAGTCTCCCTGACAGTTATATTTCTGAGGCTCATCCAACCACAGAGGCAGTTCAGGCAACATCAACATATTTTAACAGGCTAGGATGTTCTCTAATATTTTCACATATTGATTATTGCTTTGTTACCAGGTGAAACAACACTTCAATAGAGTCACTTTTCAAGAAAGCCATAAAAATCATTCTCAATTGATTGTAATATTTTAGAAAAAAAAAAAACATCTGTATATCACTATTTTGTGTCTGTATTGCCTGGGACTACACATCTAAAAGAATTGGCAACTTAATATATGTTAGATTTTTAAACGGATATCCATTAAGATGTACCGTGCCGGTTAAATGCATAGGAAAAACAGCACAAAATGTGCTCTGATATTAAGAGTTTACAGACCTGTTCCTCTCCCTTGTGGCTCTTCAGCATCTCCCACATTAAGTTCCTGGATCAAAGGGTCTGCATTAGTCCTCCTTGAGACCCTGCAAAAAAGGAAACAGCCAAAAGAATAAATAAATCTAGAAACAGTTATTTTTTAATTAACAAAGACATTTCATTGGAAATTTAACAAATACATGAAATCTAACCTGAACAGCCTATTGGGAGCATTTCCTCTGTAGGCAATATTGTTAAAGAACACCTCCAACTCCTTGTCATTATCAAAGTCAGCAGCGATGACTGTGCGAATAGGTGAGGCTTCAGCAAATCTTCCAGTAGCAATATTCTGCAAAGAAAATTGTACTTCTCTCAAGATACACTTTATTAAAACCTTTTGTTTTTGCCAATTTTGTCACTCCTCTCTTACCTGGAAACTGGAATCGCTGCGCTGCAGGAAAAGTCTGTGTGGGCCGTTCCAGTTGCCATAAACAATGTCTGTCTTTCCATCTCCATTGAAGTCAGCCAGTGCTACTCCTCTGCCATGCTGGTATTGGTCCTCCACACCTGTTTGCATGGGCACAGTGTTAAAAGCAACTAATCACAGTGCTTCTGGAATACAATTTTTTACAATAAAAAAAAAATTAAGTAAAAGTGATCAGAGGACCTTCATATGTCTCTTATATTTAGTGCTACATCCAGGAGACTGCTAGATTAGTTTAGCATAAGGACTGGATTCTGGGGGGATAAATCAGCCTGGCTCAATAACAGTAAGACGCTCCACATACCTGAATGTCTTAAACTCACCAGTTAGCATTTTCACTTGTGTTTGATTAATATTCACATGACAGGCTGTGTTACTTCATGAGGTGTTATCCTTATGAGCCTACCAGACAGCCAGCAAATGTTATAGTAAGCTAAGCAAATAGACTGATTAAAATCAAACGGGGCATCACCTGCTACGACCTGTTGTGGTAAGGAGAGAGCTGAGTGTAAAAGCGAAGCTGTCAATTTACCACAACAGGTCATAGCAGATGCCCACTAACTTCTGATGCACACTCAGGCATTTTGTTCTATAAGCTGGCCTGAAATATGACACAAGCCATTCAGTTCAGAAAAGTGAAACAAAGGTTCCTCCTAGCTGGCATTCACAGGGTAAAGAGCTAAAATTAGAAACCAAATAATAGAAGAGTGAGATGAGACAAAGAATACCTGATATGAAACCATAAGTTGAAGGACAGACTGCAGAAAGTACTACTGAGTTAGGCTTCATGTTCCCTTACCACTTCATTCTCACCTGCCTGTGTTGCCATGTCAACAAAAGCCCCATTTCCATTATTCTTGAACAGGAAGTTGGGTCCATTTTCATTGTCACAGAACACATCAGACCTCGACTCGCTCAGGATTGGTCCAACGACCACACCGCGACCACCTGACCAACGAGCCAACAGTGAACCTTTAGTTGTTTTTGACAACTTCAAAAAAAAATTTTTTTTAAATCCCATGTTTCAGGTAAACACTGTGACATCTCACCTGTGTACCTGTTGACTCCGGCCTCAGCAGCTACGTCAGACAGCGCGATGATGCCCTTGCTCACATCACTGGCAGCCTCGTCCATTTCTAAGAGAGCGTGGGGGCCAACATTTCCACTGGCGTAGTTCGCCACGTAGACTGAGTAACGGCCTGTTCCCTGCACAGAAACATCAGTAACTTAGAATAACGTATAATGTACTCAAATGCAATGAGATAGAAGAATTAGGTGGGTTTACTCACCTTTCTATCAACACATGCGACTGAACGTCCCGCCATCCGATTAGCAACACCACGACGTACATTCAGCTCATCGTTGAGCAGGTCTTCAAAGCGGCCATTACGAAACTTGAAGAGCTTGTCAGTGTATGTTGCTCGTCCTTCACAGAGAAAGAAAAATTATTTGGTTCCCTCAAATTACTTTGATGACACTTTAATTTCAGGATGACTTTGCAATATCATATTTACCAGAGTAGGCATTGTTTGTATTAAGAAAATAGATTTCTTCTCGTCCATCTCCATCCACATCGCAGGCAGCAACTCCAATAGCATTTCCTGCCTGGTCTCTCAGAGCATAGTATGGAGAGTTACTGTCATCAACAGCAATGTTTACCAGCTTTTTTTGAGTCCTGTCATACTTCAGCACCAGGTTGGGCCCGTTGTACCTGAGAGAAAACGTGATTTTGATTTATTTTTTTTTATCACAAATTTCTGCATAAAAATCCTCACACATGGTAATACACTAACACTCACACTTACCCTGCCACCACCACTTCCAGGTCACCATCACCATCCACATCTGTCACAGCCATCCCATAGTTGAGTTGTGTGGGATTGTGCAGATTGTCAGGGGGAAGCATGGTCTGTGTAACAACCTGAAGCATGGGATTCAGGTTTTGGGCATGGGAGTGATGCCAGAGTGTCACTAGTAGGAGCAGCAGACCCGAACCCCACATTATTCCAACCTGGCGAGACACGGAAGTCAGGAAGATATCTTGTTTTGAACAAAACTTGCAAGAAACATCTGAAACTGAGAATTATAATACAAAACAAAACAACATTTCTTAACAATTGAAACTAAATATGAAAATATAATTATCCGAATTGATCGAAAGCGATCAAATAAGTACGTTAAAAGAAAGAAGAAAAACAAAAACATAACCACCAGACATTGTTTTAAACGTGGAGTGTTTCTGTCTAAATCTACCAACCAAAAGCCTTTAAATCCTTTAAGAAAGATATAAAATTTCAAGACGTTAAAAAACACAAAACGCAAAAACTACTAATATGTTATTAATGCTCTCCAGCAAATACATTTTCTGTATTTCTGACTTGTTTTTCCTCCAGCGTAATGACATGCAATTCACTGATTTTAATAAAAACATGGATGAAGCCTTTTCCCCATTTTGTGCAAAGCAGAGGCGTGAGCAAGAATTCATTCCCTTCATTATGGCAATACCGTCTTACCGTATCAAGGTGTGGAGGAGAAAATGCGTCTCCTGCAGTGAAGATGATGTGTTTATAGTTGTGAAGCGAGCTTGTCAACGCCTCTATTACACAAATAAGTTTCATAAATTACAAATTTACGAAACACCTTGTGTAACGCGGAGAATACTGTCCAATCAGCGAAGAACTATCTGACCGATGAAGATGGTGACCAATGGCTGAGCTGAATTTCTGTGCACGTGTCTCTTGCACCCAAGGGTTTGGTTTGTTTGTAGTTTATGTTAAACGATGGCACAGAAAAGATGGATTCGGTAGATAGTATATTTACCATTTCTTTTGGGGAAACTCGTTGAACTACAAAGGAAAAGAAAATTCGTTGGAAAAAGGAACTAATAACCTGGTAGTTATTCCGGATTTCGGAGCGGCAGTGCTGTAGAAGAACACAATTTCCCACTACGCTTTGCGCTAGGATTTGCTTGCGTCAAGTGTGCGACGAAAGTCTGTTGTTAAACAAATCATAAACGGGTAAGCCGACAGAGTAAATTTATTTGATTTAATTACAGATTAAATATTCTGAGTGAAAATAAATGAACATGAATGAATGTAACATTAACCGCTATTTATTTTATATTTATTTCTTCATTTAAAAATATCTTTACAAGCTACACGGGAGGAAGTTTAGTTAGCTAACTGAAGCTAGTTATTCAAATCCTGTTTATTTAGAACAGTTTGCCGCGTACCTGGCTGCTTCATTCCTTAATAAAGTCTTTAAAGTAAATTTAGAGTGTTTTGAAAATCTGCGAAGGTCTGACAATGTTCATGTTCTCGTTCCTCCATGATCCAGATACTTTAACATCATTTAACCATGGAGGATGTGCAGCTTAAAGAAGACTGTGGTCCAACTCAACCAACACCTACACCTCCCTCTCAATCAAAGAGGCCAAGTCAGCCTCTGTACGTCCCCAAACAACGACTTCATGCCTCGAAAGAGAAAGCTCAGACTCAGGGAGAAGTTAAACCAAAAACCAGGCCTCGCTACACAGACAAAGCACGAAAGAACGCCAAGAACAAGAAGGACAAAGCTGGAGGAGCGAATAAACCATCGCCCGCTGGGGGAGAAGGAGATGGAGGTGAAGCGCAAAACAACGACGTTAAGCCAGATGTGAAGGAGGACCGATTACAGGGTTTAGATGCTGAGGCTAATGGGGAGTCTTCCGCCAAAGTGGAGGCAGGCGATACTGCAGAGCAGGAAGAGGAGAGCTGGGACACCTTGTTCAACGATGATGGAGACTGTCTGGATCCACATCTGCTTGAAGAGGTGAGAGCTTGATTTAGGTTTTGATAATCAAAACCCAAGACAGTCCAATCCAACTTTATTTATACAGCACTTTAAAAACAACAAAGTTGACCAAAGTGCTTTCCAATAATAAAACAGAGATAACAGTTAAAAACCATACATTAAGCAGACAAAGAAATAAATATAAATACCAATAAAATAAATAAATGGAAAAAGAAGATAAACAAATCAGTATATTAAATATTAAAACATGAGTAAAATAGACAATAAAATATACAATGAATAAAATTAACAAAATATAAAAGATTAAGAGTGACCAACAGCTGACTAAAACTGACTACAAGCAGACTCTGGTACTACTCCTAAAAAGCCTTCGAAAAAAAGTGTGTTTTTAAAAGTGACAAGCAGAATAATGTCCACCCAGATTCACATACACATTGCTGATAATTAACCTAAAAAATCCTATTTAATATGATGCAAAACAGATCTTTTTCTCTTCTCATCATTGTCTTCTCTCCTGCCTGCCTTGAATGCACAGCTGGCTTTGAAGGAAGGAAAAAAGAAGGAGTCAATCCAAGAGCCTAGGTTTGATTACTACAACATGGACAGAGCCAGTTATGATGATGATGATGATGATGACGTTGACCTCACAGAGGATGAACTATCTCATATTGTAGAGATCTACGATTTCCCTACAGAGTTCAAAACAGAAGACCTTCTTAAACTGTTTCAGTGCTACCAGTAAGTCTCTAACCATGTTAGAATTGTACAAACTTTGTTTTTGCCTTATATACTGTATGTCCTTTTATATTTGCAGAGATGTCAGTAAACCTCTGCATCTATTTGCATGATTCACAGTTTGAAATAATCCTTTTTTTTATCGTATACTGAGCCTTGGTGCAGCCCTGAGTTCAGCCATTGTCTGAAACCAGCTGCTGCAGCTCTTTTTTTTTGTCTTGGTGCTAGCTGTGTTCTTCTAATTGGGTGGGACTGCAGGTGAGAGGGGCTTCTGTGCTCACTCCAAGATCACTGTTCCACCAGGCTGTTCTTGACATCATGCAGATGAAGTAGACGAAACTTTTTTTTAATAGAGCATTTGGATGAGTACCATTGTAACAGTATATGTTAGAAAATAAGGAAAGGATAATAGGTTTACTTTAAGACAAAAAAAGTTTTTAAAAGTCTTTAGGGAGCACGGTCTTCCTTTTAGAGCTAATGCTCTGAGGGCATGTTGTGAAATATTCTTACTACCTTGTGTGATTTCTGACTGTCTTTTCAGAAAGAGAGGATTTGACATTAAATGGATTGATGACACACATGCCCTCGGCCTTTTCTCAAGCCCCATAGCAGGTAAGTAAAGCTCTGCCTCACATTTAAGGCAATTACAGTTCATTATGCTCTGCATTAAGTGTCACTGCTATGACTCATCATCTTGCTACGATGTTGTAAGTAGAATTGTTTTAGTAAAGAAAATCCTGGCCAACAATCTTAATGCGGTTTGCTCCTGAGCTTTTTGAGATTGTGTCTCTGTTACTTGGGCCATCGTTTTTCTGACTTCAGGTTAGAAAAACACATTTTTCAGTTGTAAGGAGATATTAAACTCACCGACTATTACATTTTGTTCATTTTCCCTTTTAAGCTCGTGAAGCTCTGAGATCCAAGAATCCACTGATGAAGTTGCGACCACTTTCCAAATCTTCCTCTGCAACAAAGGCCAAAGCCCGTAGCTGCTCAGGTGCGATTGCACATATGTGTGTTTGTCATTTTTCATAATTTTGTGTTTGTATAATAATAAAGCAAATCCATATTTGTTGAGAAAACCCTTTAGCTTTATATCCAATTCTCCAGTACACTACCATTTAGTCTTTCAAGATCCTCTGCATTCTTGACTGTGGGTTTGGTTTGTGTCTGTCGCTTCCTCAGACTGAAACTGAATTTCTACTTCTAATTGAATCTCACCTATGGTGCAGCCTACACAAATAGCTGATGTTGTTGCCAGCGTTTATACTTATGCCTGGTTTGCCTGCTTTACTCTTCAATTTCTCCACTGAAATGCTGATTGGTGGTCCAGTTTCTCTCTTTGAGATGATCCGTACTCTTCCAGTCAGCTAAAGTAAATGACAGCAGAAGAAGAAATAAATGGAAATATGTAGAATGAGCCAGTTACATATGTTACAGGCTTAATTAAGATGACGTGGTTTTGGGGTTATTGTGATGTTTGTAAAGTGTATTTTGGTGCCATCCAGGTTGCATTACACCACAAATTAAACATTTAAAGCGCTTAAAAACTGTTCTGTATCTCCCACATTTATATGTATCCTCCTTTCCTCTTGCCCCCAGACTACCTCCTGCCTGCTAAAGAGAGACCTCAGACGAGTGCAGCACTGGCTCGGAAGCTTGTGATCGGTGCCCTCGGTGTAAAGAGCAACCTCACAAAGGAGCAGCGTGAGGCAGAGAGGAAGAAACTCCAGGAAGCAAGAGGTACGTTGTACTTCTTTAGGTCTCCACTTACTTTTTGGGCTGAAGTCTCATCTTGGGTGGGCGGTTGCTAAACTAATTATGGATTCGGTAGCTTATGTGTGAGGGTCATACAGGGTGCTCAGTTAAACTGAGACGTAAGTACAAATAATTACTGTCCCAATAGTTGTATCACAAAGTTACCACCACAAGTGGGAGCTGTTTTCATACTTAACTGAAGAAAGTGGAAAGTTTCAAATGTAGTGCCAAAGGAAGTCCGTCCATTGCTGTGTAGGTTACAGTAAATCTATAATCAGTAAAGCAACCATTTCCTTTCACAGATGGAAAATAAGTATATAGGGCCAGAAAACAACCGCTGGCCATCCAATGACAGTCAGTCCAGGAAGTCAGGAAGTAAAGCACACTAAAAAAAAGCTCCTTTGTTCTCAGTTTAGGCTCACTGCTGCACTACCATCAGTGAACAAATACTAAACTTGGTGTTGGAACAGATGCCATGTATGGTTCTATGTGAAGATTAATATGCAATCATCTTCAGCTCTTTACTGCTCTTCATGCGGCAAAGACAGTGATATAAATATAAGACTTTTGTTTGTCGTGTGATTTATCTTTCAGAACAAAAGCGCCTGGCAGCCAAGCAGAGGGAAGACGCTTGGGAGGGAAAGTAACTGGACAAACCTCTATTTTTTTTTTCCCCTTTAAATTCCTTGAGTCAGCAGAGGCTTAAATCATTTCTGTTTCATGTAATGCTCTGGTTTTTTAGCTGGCCACTCCTTCGTACAGGCATGTTTCCGAGAAATGATATTTTTTTTTCAAACTGTTTCCTGAGAGGCTTTTACCGTTTCCTTTGTCACTCAGTGTCTGACATCATAAAATGCTACATGATCAGATCACCTTCAATTATCTGTGAACTCACCGACTCACCTGGACTCTATGTATTGTAAGCACAGTCTGTAGTCAAGCACTGAAGCTAATGGTTCAGTTAACAAGTAACGCGTTAACTGAAATACTTATCTGTACACATCCTCGTGTTTGGGTTTTTAAATGTTTTAAGATATAAAAGTGACGTGACGCTTTCAGTTACATGTCACTGAAGTTCAGTCATGTTGATTCGTTAAATTTTTATGTGTCACAACATTGTTGATTTTATCCAGTTTGAGTGATTAAATTGAAGGTGGTGTCATTAAAAATGAATGCTGCATTGTTTGCAGTTTAAGTTTTATCAAAGTATTAACTTACTTTTAAGCCATCGTGTCAGGTGGTTTCCGGTGTTTGAACTGATACCCGATATTATGTATAATGTTTTGCTCAACGCAGCTGCTGTTATGTATGTCCAGTAAAAAAACAAAAAAAAAACAAACTGCTCGACTCCGTCTGTTAAAATCTGAGCGTGTGCTTAAAGACACAAGTCTAGACATTTCACGATGACAAGCAAAACTGTCATCAAAGATTTTCCTTGACATTGAAGCACCTCACTATTTTTGTGCATCACTTAAACAAATCTACCAAGATTTTCGGTTCAGCTCCTGTTTTTAGCTCCATCCATTCTTGCTCTGTTTGTTGACAAAATGTAATGACAGTACGAAGAAAAACGTGTCTCTTTATTCCTGACAAGCTTCTTTTTTTTTTTTTTTGTTTTAAACTTTACAAAGGTAATCACTAAAGAGAGACAGTATTTATTCTAACTGTCATCAAACAGGGTTTCCCAAGAGTCAGCTTTCATAATTCAGCTTCCTCAGACACATATCTCAGGCTCCAGAGCCCTTTTTTGACAGCTGCAGGCAGACGCCTCTTCTGAGGCTTTACCCAGCAGACCACAGACCATGTGGCACTGCAGCTCATTCAGTTCCTCAGTGAATAATTACACCACTTTCAGCCAGTGTGGAGAAAGGCGTTTTAAATTTGTTCTTCAAGAGATTTGTAACAAAAATCAAATTTGCTGCTAAATTAAGTTTTTTTTAATTTTTTTTTATTATTTTTTACATTTTTTTTTAGCCCTTTCAGCCAGTCGAAATGTTCATGCACTAACAGAGCAGATTGCTGTGTACTTAAATGTTTAAAATGATTATTCCTTAAATTTAAGTAGTCCTGCAGATGACTGTGATTTATAGCTCCCCTCCTTTTAAACATCCAAATCGACCCTGTATTACTCTAAGAGAGTTAGTTTTGTAACTGTTTAGCTCACTGGCTGTGGATGAATGAGGCACTGCCACGTGGCTCACAGTGGGCTAATTAAAGCGCTGCAGCATGAGAAAAAGTCTCATTACATATTTGTTTCCTTTCACATCAGTTCTTCTGAATGTGTATTGACACATTTATATCCATGCAGATAATGTGAAAGATGTTTTTGTAAAGCAGGTTTGAGGATTCAGTATTAGGAAGAATTTCCTTTTACAGTGTATCATTTGGTGTTTACGATGTGCTCTTTTAGAAGGTGATAAAAAATATCTGAAAGCATGTAATAGTTTTTTCTATATAATCATGAATACCAAGGCAGGATGAAAAAGGATTAAAAAAAAAAGAAGCTTTTATTTAATGGGTGACTCATTAGTGTAAAAGTGGTTATATGATAAGTGATTCCATTCTCTATAATACACAATTTGATAACCTTGCAGCCTTAGAAGTACTTTAATGGTTCCCTTTTCTAGGTATCAGCGTTCAAACCATAGACTGTGTAACTGCTGCCACTTTGTGAAACATGTGCTCGAGGTGTTTTGCCAAGCCCAGCACTGGGTACACATATTATGTATTAAAAGCTATTTGTCCATTATATGAACATAAGCACAAAATTATGGAAATGCTAATTTGAAGAGTTATAAGTGGCTTGGCTTAACTTTTAAAGTACTGAAATGTTCAAATAAATGCATGAGCCATGCCAGTCTAAGTATATGCAGCTGGTACGGTGAAACTGCTCATTAAATCAGTTATTTCAGTCACTCTCTTCGCTAGCTAAGAATCTCTTCTGCAGGAACTTGTTCTTTTGTAGTGGTTGGTGATTTTTGAGCTGCTGGTAGTGAGACAACCATAGACTGCATATAAAAGATGAACATAGATGGGTGCTACTTCACAGCAGACTGTATCATATGTCATATAATTGTAGTAAAAATGCTCCAAGAGGAACCGACAACACAAACACATTAAAGATGTAAAGTCTATACAGTGAGCGGCGAGGTCAATCAAAGCATGCATTTCTTGAATTTAAAAAAATATAGTGAAAATGAATGAAAACCAGAAAAAGTTTTAGAAAATTCGGGGAGCAATAAAGTACAATGATTGAAATAATTTTTTGATTTAGGCTTTGAAAAAGTTGTTTTTATGACTTAACTTGGTAAATCTAACAGGGCAGTCTACAGGGATCGATTAGCTTCTGCAACCAGCCTCAAGTGGCCATCAATGGGACTGCAGTTTTTGGCACTATAACTGATGTGAAATGTAAAAAAAAGAAAGAATAGCAAATATTATTTTATGTTGATATGTCATCTATTAATTGTTAGACTTTATACACTCATTGTTGGTTATAGACAGGTGTTTCTTGATCGTAGTGCACAGATGGCTCTTCTTGATGCCAAGTGCAAATGTGGACACATTTTCATAACAGACCTCCGTGTGTGCTGTTGTTCTTGCAGCTGGACTACATATAGAGTCTGTAGCTGCTCTTTACCATCATCGTGTGAGATCTGAACCCTGCCCATAATCTCATGTTTTACTGTGGCTTCACGAGGGGGTGATGTACCACAGAGCAGCCAACTGGATACCTCACACACAATCATTAGATTAACTACACAAACACAAGCCACAACTGAGAAAGAAGTGGTTTCAAGTGCCAACTCTACACAGAAATGCTACATGTTATGTCATGGAGCAAGTGAAGTGTGAGACATGGTCCAAATTAAGAAGTAATCTAATCTCCCACCACAGCAAAGGACCCTGGTGGTGAAGGGTTTCCTAGCACCAAACACTGTCAGCAAACATACCTTACATCACTCGCTTCCCTTTGTTAAAATTTGGCTTAGCAATGACACGTTTTCATTAACACCTGAAAAATCATTGTTTTTGATTTATTTCAGTAATGTTTTTAAGGTGCCATTTTGAAACAACAGGCAGCTTAGGGGCTTTTTACCTGAGGTGTTTTATGTGTAATAAGGAGGAAATAGCATTGCAAAAAGCAAAAATGCCTATTTCTCTATAATAACATATGAATAACCTATTAAAGCTAACTTAAGGAAGTGTGATTATTACCTGGAAATATCTCGGGTAATTTCTGTGGTAATAATTACCACATTATTACCCTCTTGTTTCCCCCTTGTTATCCTACTATTACTGCTTTATTACCGAGCTGTAATAGAAAGTGCTACCATTGTTTCTATTGAACAACTACACTGATCTGGATGCATCAGAGAGCAACTTGCAGTTAATATCTTACCCAGGGATAGTTGGTTACAGACTGGAGCAGACAGGGCTCAAACTACCAACCTTTTGATTAGTAGATGACCTGCTCTACCTCATGAGCTATAGCCATATGAAGGCAGTAGAAATAAGCAGGCATTAAATAAAATAATACAATGATAACAGAATGGTAATTTGCTTTGATGTCAAGAACCACGTACATTGAAAAAGTCAAAGTAGTGTCTTGGTTTTATGGAACAAATGGGTTGTATGATAATAAACACGTGAAGGTCTTAATAACAGGTCCAGACATTGGAGCCACAGACACTGAAATGACTTGTTCAGGGAGTTATTTTTTTGTTTTCAAATTTTCTAAAACTTACAGATCTAATTTACCTGGATTCAGACCTTTATCAGACCTTTACCAATCCCCCCACTCCACTGAGCTGACTCACTGAATTGATTGAAAATGACAAATGCCGGCAGCACAGTCGTGTTAGCACTATTGCTTCAGTGTGTTAAGGAAGCGGTCCTCAACCCCCGGGCCATGGGTACTGGGTCGTGAGTTGTTTGGTACTGGGCCGCCAGAGTTGAGCTTGGGTGTGAAATAAATGGTTTTCAGGGTTTTTATCGGTTTTAACAGGGTTTTTTTTTATCGGTTTTTACACGTGGAGAAACAAATTTCCCACATGCGGGACTAATAAAGGTTATCTTATTATCTTATCTTTAGCGTTATTTTTTTCATTAACTTGGTTTCCTGGGTCTCTTTCCGTGTGTTATGAATAAATCTTCTTTTTTGATACCGGTTGTATTTTGTTGTATTTATCCGCAACACCTTAAAGCCCAGTCTGTGAAAATGTTGTCGGACACAAACTGGTCCGTGGCGCAAAAAAGGTTGGGGACCGCTGTGTTAAGGCTCTAGGTTTGAATCTACTGGCTGGCTGGGGTCCTTATGTGTGGAGTTTGTATGTTCTCCCTGTGCCTGTGTAGGTTCTCTATTGGTCTCCTGGCTTCCTCCCACAGTTTAAAGATGTTATGTTATTTTCTAATAACCTTATTTCATAATAACAAATTCTAAATTAGACATAAGTGCAAATGGTTGTCTGTCTCTCTGTGATCCCTGCAATACATTGGGTTTGCCCTACTTGGCCCCCTATGACGGCTGGGATATGCTCCAGCCCCCCGTGACCCTGAATCGGATAAGTTGAAGAAAATGAATAAATGGAAGGAGTGTCTACAGCCTGCTGATGCACTACCACCCCAGATGCAGTCACAATCTGCAATGCAGATTTGCATCATGTTTATGTCACCTTTACCGACTTTGTATTTGATTTTAATTTACCACTTTATTTATATAGTTTTATATGGCACCAGCTCATAAAATGGAAAGAAAAAAGGCCAAAGTGAGTCATTTATTTAAAGCATAGCCTATGTAATGTGACAGAGGGTAACTGTGAGAATTTCCAGTGTTTCTATGTATTCCTCAGTGGAAATATGGTGGAAACAACAATAAAACGCCGCTTAGCTCACGCTCCCAGGAAAAGGATGGGAAACCCAGCAACTTTAATCATCTTCGATCTTTTTTAAATCTGCTGAAGAAGCTGAAGCAACTTGGTTAGACTCGCATAAGGCACTGCATGAACTTCAAGAATCTCTTTTAGCCTATTAGGCAATTCTCCAAACCTTCTACAGAAACTGTAACATCAACTCTGCTTAATTATTATTATATCCTTAAACACGGCCTAATTATTCTCTGCTTTCTGCATTATAAATGTCTGCGGTCAAATAATAATGCCTCAAATGACAGTTTTCAATCTGACATTTATTCTTTCACTACCATTACCAAGTACTGACGCAATACTGTGGTACAACCAGATCTCGTCTGTTGTTCCCAATGTTAAACAGGTAAAGAACAAACAAAGTGGAGATAGTTATCATAATAAAATTAACAATACAAACAGCTTTCAA